GAGGACCCAGGACAGTGGCCCCAGACCTGGCCCCGCTTCTCCGCTCGCTGGGCTTTGAGCCCCCCAGCTCAGCCTTCTGGAAGCGCCAGTGTGTGCTGACCTTGGATGCTTCCACCTCAAGGTGGACAGGCCTGGCTGGGTGGCAGCCTGTGGACAAAAAAGTGACCGGCCAGCAGGAGGCTTTTTTTCTCTTTCCTCTTCAATTCAGGACTGGTCTGCAGTCCACTGGCTGCAGGGAGGTGATTGAATCTGCTTTGCTGAAATACAATAGCAAATTGATTTCATAGCCACCAGTGTCTGTAACAAATTCCAGGTGAAGTTTGGATAGCGCCACTATGGGATAAAGGCATTCTAATTAGGCGTGTATTTAGTTTGGCTAAATTTTGGAGGCCTGGGGCAGAGACCCAACCCCAGTGCTTCCCGGTTCCTCCCTCCCCCTTACCTCCGGTCTGTCCGTCCCCTATCCAAAATGTTACACCCATAGCTCAACCCTCTCCTGCCTCAGGGACCTGGGAGCTGAGCAGCTGGGGTTGAAGTTGAAGGCCACTCTGCGCTTGCATCTGTTTCAGATTTTCCTCTTTGTAACACATCTTTTGTCCCCTCCTCTCTGCTGCTTCTTTCTCGCCCTCTTTCTATCTTTACTGACCAGTTTTCTGCCAGCTTTTCCTTCTATCACTCTTTCCTCTTCTGCACTGTTTTCCTCTCCCCTTTTTCCTCTGTTCTCTCCACTAATGCACTGTGTGATCTCGGGCAAGTCACTCACCCTCTCTGAGCCACAGTCCTCTCATTTATAAAATGAGGGGGTTAGACTAATTGGTCTCTATGATCCTTGGGTGCTGAGGATATGATTCCTCCCCGTGTCCTGCCCTCTTCCCTCCCACCTGCCTTCTCCTCCCTCTTTTGTTTTCTCCCCTTCACTTCTCAGCTTCAATTGCTTTTTTATGGCCAGCCTGCATTTGGGCCAGGCAGCAGTGATAAAGTCTGGGAGCAGGAATTTCCCCTCTCCACAGTAAGGGTGGAGGCCCGGGCTGCCTTTTATGATCCCTGAGCCGTCCACGGGAGATGGATTTATTGAAGAGCTGACTCACTCCCCTCCCTCAGAGCAGCCAAGTAATTGAAGAAAACATGAATGTTAATGATGCAGTTAGCATTTGGAAGTTAGAGGGCTGATTAATATGTTGTAAGCTGTATATTAACACCTTCGTGGTGGCGTAATGAAGACAAAATATACACTCGGAGATGAGATTGTTTGTTCTTGTGTGCAGACTCCTGGTTCCCGTTCCTGAAGCCTCAGGAAACGCGGGGCTGCTGTGTGTGTGGCCGGTGGGGTTGGTGGAGGGACAGCTTTCTGGCATCACAGTTCCTGCCGGCGAGCTTTCTCACCTGAGTGGAAGGCAGTAGCACGGCAGTCAGGGCACTTGCGGTCAGCGGGGGCACGGGATGGAGGGCACCATCCCTCAGGAGCAGCGCGCCCAGAAGACAAGGTGGCGTGTCCGTCATGGCCCAAGGAGCTGACTCTTAAGCTTTCGAGGGAGCTTCAGGATAAGGTGGCTATCTCTAGATGGTACCCACTTCAGAGGGGGTGAAATGCGGGAAGACCACGGAAGAGAGGAGCCCCCTGCAGCGTCCTGGGCTTCAGGAGCTCCGGGATTAGCACCCCTGCTCTGGGGAGGTCTGCTCTGCTGGACTGGGCATCCTTGCTAAGTCACCTGGCCGGGCCCCGGTGAAGCGTGTGGGTGGGGAACTCCGCCTTGTCTCTTGTTCCACCTTGTTTGCTCCATCAGTCCTTTTAGAGCCAGAGTCTGAGACCGTCAGAGCAGGCAGTCTTGAAGGAACCTTTAGGCCACGTCGTAACAGTTTCCAGTCGGAAGTGAGGGGGAGAGACTTTGTTTTGGGCTCACAGCCCTCCGGGGTTGCTCCCTCCTCAGGGACTAGGAACTGGAGTGTGAGACTGGGGCCCAAGGCCCAGGGATGGGGTCACTCCTCTGACTGCATGGACCTGTGGATGGTTCAGTGGTCCAAGGGGCCAAGAAGGAATTCAGTTACATGCTCCACCCCATAGTTCTGACGTCTGGAATAGTGGGTAGAACGCAGACAGATTCAAGTCCCAGCTCCGGCAATGGCTCTGTGGCCACGAGAAAGTCATTTCACCTCTCTGGGTCTCAGTCAACCCGTTTATCAAACAGGAATAATAACATTGAACATGTAGTGCAGCTGTTAAGGATCACTCACATCCTAAACACACACACTCAAAAATGATTGGAGTTGATGTGTGCGTGTGCGTGTGTGTGTGTGTATGAGAGAGAAATACCAAGTACAGTTTCTGTCACCAAACAAGGTAAGCACTCAGAAAATGATGGTAATGATGGTGTATGAGAATTCTCGTTACTGTGACCATCGTCATGGGCTGCAGCCTGCGCTCCTACCTCCTACCTGTCCTTCGGGATTCTGCTCAGTCATCACCTCCTCTGGGCATATCGCCTTGTCACCCGCCACCCCAGTCTGGATCCCACACCGCCCTGCGTGCAGTACAAGCACTTATCCATCTGTATTGTCTCTAGAATTTGTCTTTCTCCACTATCTGACTGCAAGCTCAGTAAGCAGGGACTGTGCCTCATTCTCCCTGGTATCCTTAGCATCAGCCTTTGGTAAATGGTCACTGAATGAATGCATGACCTAACTCCAGGCCTGGTAAGCACCGCGTAGAATGAAGCCAGTGAGTATGAACATAGCTTCTCATTTTCCAAGATTAATCGTAAGTTCTTTCATGCTGTGCAGGGAACGCTGTGCTTTGGTGTTTAGAGCATCCCCTCCTAGTGACGGGGAGCCTGTGACCCAGCTTCCCTCCTTACGGGACCAATTGCAACTCGCGTCCTGCTGATTCCATCTTTTCTGAATACTTAGTTCATTCTTCTTAGGACATATTTGTCATTTTACCTTGTGCTGTAGTCGCTTGCTTCCATAACCTGTCTCCTCCGAGTTCTTTGGGGTATACCCCATGGCTCTCCTTACTGGACACCTCTTGCCCCTAGGAACTACCACAGTGTCCACCTGTATAAATTCTGCTACTAGTGGGGTCTACATGGTATATTAGTGAATGAAGGCATGAATGATTTCTAACTCTGTTTCTAGTCCAGGAGCCTAGTCAGCTGTTACCTCATTACTTGGTATGCTAGTTTCTCTGCTTATCCAGAGTTCTAAGCTCCCAGAAAGCAAGGATCTTATTAAATACTTCTGTGTCCTCACAGTACCGGGTAAATCACATTTAATGGGTAATTAATTACTGATTGATTTCCTCAAATTTTCTATCCTATTAAGACTTTCGAAGCCAAGAAGAGAAAAAAAAAAAAGTCGTATTAGCCTTGTTAAAGAGTGACAGTGTTTGAAAGGATTGACTAAACCTGCATCCCAGTGCTGAAACATATGGCATGTGGGATTCCATATGATGGGTGGAAATCCTGAGAGGTTTTCTGCTCATTTCCTCACAGGCACTGATTACCTTATTGAAGGCAAAGATCTCAGTTAAAGAGAATTATTCGATTTGAACAACAGAAGTTGTAAATGTGACCTTCATGAACAGCTTGGTTAATCGGGTTGCCTTGTGGTGGATGGGCCCTGGCTTTGGGGCTTTCCCTGTGATATCCGGGAGATATCACAAGGGAGAGGGTCTCTGCTCGGGTTCCGGGCCAGGCAGAGGCCCCGGCAGCTCTGAGCTTTCCCCACGTGTGGAGTCCTGAGCTCCAGGCTCTGGAGGGCAGGGGCAGGGAACCCAGGGGAAAGAGAAGTGACTGCCCACAACCTGGAGTCCAGGGAGGGGAGAGGGCTTCTGAGCACGTGATGTTAACTGGAGTGTTTGCGTGAGAAGAAGACCATTTCAGACCAGCTACCCGCCCAGTGAGTAGAGCTCTATGTGTGAGCGCTGGGGGTGCGGGATAAACAGTCCTTCCAGGCTGGAAGGGTTGGTCTCTGCATGTCATCTTGGAGACTGAAAATGATGAGGGTGATGACTAACACCTGTACGTACGTAGGAGTGACTAAGGGAACTCGGGTTCTGGAGTTGCAGAGACCTAAGTTTATAGCCGAGCTCAGCCACTTCTTAGCTGACTGACCTCCGGCAAGCTACTTATACCCTCCGCTTCTCCGTCTCTTGCGTGGGATACCATAATAATGACTCCTCTGTCTTTTGTGCAAGGTGACATGTTCCCCACCTGGGACTAGATCCTAGGTCTTGTCAATTCACGGCTTACACTTTGTATACACTACAGCGGAGGGAAAGGGGGCTGTGTCTGTTTAATTAGCTGGTGTTGGTAAGAGCTTTGGAGATACAAAGCTCTCGATAAGCAACAATCCTCTTAATCTGTGTAGGGCTGATTCGCATTGGGCGAACTGACCAGGAGGGCAGGGCAACCGAGAGAGAGAATGAATGAATGTGTGTGTGCACACTGGTTTGTATGTGTCTGTGCACGTACATGCACTGTTTCTGCTCCCCTTGAGGGTGCCGTAGAAGTGATGGGTAGGGATTAATGTATCAGATGGGACTTGGAGGAGATGCCCTCCATGTCTGTCTATCCCAGAGACTCTGTGGCTCTCTCCTTGGTTAGAAGGTGACCCCGGGCTCTGGGGCCGAGAAGTACCTAAGTTCTGAATGTACGTCTGTGTGGTCCAAGGGAAGCTTTGAATAAGAGCCTGGTGCAGGGTGATCTTTCTGCATGCTGCCCTCCTCAATGTCTCAGGATGCTTGTAACATTTAAAAATTGGCCCGATGAATCCTTCTGGCAAACTTGCCAGCCCTACTGTAGCCCAGAATTGGGGAATCTGTGAACTTAGAGACACTCTGTTCTGCTTTGACTCAGTGGCTGACAATCTGTTTTCTCCTAGGAGTTGGGTTTTGGTCTTAAGTTATCAGTCAGTGCGCCCTCCCGTCTGTTCCCTCCTCCTCCTTATAAGTAGGCTCCGCCCACATCCTTGCTAGCTTCCTTCTTCCTTCCTTCCTCCTTCCCTCTGCTGGTGGTGAGCGCAGGCGCCTGGTGCAGTGGCTGGCCCGCACCCTGGGTTTGGCCAGCCTCGCTCCTCCAGAAGCCAACCTGGGATGAAGATGTAAGTGCAAGTTACTTGGAAGGGGATCTCAGGAAATACTCGTTTGCCTGAGAAGCGAGACGGCAAAGGGAAAGAAGACAATAAAGTAGGTTGTAACTATGGGCAACCGGCACCCAGCCCCACTGGGGACCATGGAGAGAGTGCACAGCATCCGAGGGCAAGGTATCCTGTTGGCCGCTGACCGAAGTATGTGACACTTGGGGCCTGCCTGTGTGCGTGGGCTGCGTGGGCTCCAGGGACCAGAAAGTTCTCAGGTGAGCTGCATGTGCCCGAGGCTGGAAGCCCTCAAGTCGGAGAGTGTGAGGGGAGGTGGGCAGGGCCCCGTGGCTTCTCCTGGCCGCCCTGAATCTCCCTGCAGACCAGACCCGTGCTTGGCCCACTGGGTATGGGCAGCTCCTGGGGCCATAACCGTCTCACACGGAGGTGCCAGCTGCCCTCCAGGGTTAGGAGCATTTCTACAATTTTTATTTCCTGAAGAGCCAGGCAGTGATCTGATTTATGAAAACTACAAACAAATCGTCCTTTATGGAGGGTGTCCGGGACGCCAGACACCGTACTCAGTGCTTTTCCTGCACGCCTCATCTTGCTTCTCTCTGTATCCCATGAAATAGGATAATTTTTTTTTTAAAATAGGGTAAAAAAATGTAAATTATTTTTCCGTTGAGGCAACGGAGGCAAAGAGTGGCTAAGTGATTCACCGCAGTTCACACAGCTGGTAGGAGGCAAGTTTGGAGCTCTGACCGGGGCCTTCACTCTGCCCTGTACCAGCTCTTCTGCCTCATCTCAGGATCTGGGCGCTTGCTTATTGGGAAACTGGCATTTCCCAAAATGCTGACACGTTGGGTGGGCTAGTCCTGTGGGCCTCCTCTGTGGAAAGATACCCGAATGAGGTCAATTCTGTCTAAATGTCCGTCAGTAACTCCATAACTGGATTACGGATTGAGGGGGACCTGGGCCTGGGTGGATGGGAATTGCCTTTAAATCAAGTTCTGAAGAACATCCCAGCCTCTGGCCCTTTGATGAATTTGTCTCTGCCTGGCAGGGCCTGACAACTGCCCGGACCCAGCTCCCCCCCTCAATTCCAGGAAGCCCAGCCGTGCCAGCACCTGCTTGTCACTCTCTTTGTCCCACGGAGCTCCCGGAGACCTTCAGGAACACGTTCCACCTGTTGGGCCTGGCTGGCACTCTCCCTGCCCACAGGGCCTGGAACAGTGACTTTGCTGTCTGGCTTCATGATCACAGCTTGTGGGCAGGGGACCCCAGGGCCCTGTTTAGCCGGGTGCTCACTTTCATTTTAATCGCATGGCCGAAGAGCCCAGGGTAGGAATAGGAGATCTTGATTTAAGTTCCACTAATTGCTGTGTGTCCTTGTACGTCTTTTTTCTGGGCCTTAGTTTCCTCATGTGCTGAGGATGGAACCTAGTATCCCTTCCAATCCCCAAATCCCAGGAGTCAGGGAGAGGCAGGATGGAATTGGGTTACAGAGACGGCAGAGGGTTAACGGCTGATTTCAGATGCCGGTCTCCCTTGGGTCCCAGCTGTCTGCCAGCTGACAGTTCAAGCACCCAGGATCCTTAGAACAGTCCCAGAGACCTTGGACCCTGCCTGTCCTAGGAACTTGAAAACATGGCTGGCCTTGGATCTCTGTGGGAATAAGGGGCAGAGGGAAGAACGGGGAGATCTGTGTGTGGTGGGTGGGACAGGGGGCTGGGAACACAGCCAGAGTTGAGCCGCTGGCGTCTGGCCCAGCCCCAGGAGCAGAGGTGCCGGTGGAATGGACCATGCCGTGATGGACTGTACCTGCTGGGCTTCTGGGCCAATAACCCCGTCACTAAGGGATCCCTAGGAGCTGCTTAGCTGGAGCTCAGTCATAAAGACGGCGATGGAGAACAGGGCTTTCATGAGGGGGTCTTGAGGAAGAGCCTGTTGGATTGTTGTTTCACATTGGCTGTGACAGAGATGTCCCCCAAGGAGACGTGCTCAGGCCTCTCTCTCACCGGATGGAAGCTGGCTACTTTGGTCCAGAGGATTTGGCCCTAAGCTGTTCTACCAGGGTGGATGGATTAGGAGAACGGCCCTGCATTGCCTCAGCCTGAGGGCGCTGGGCTCAGCTAGTGTGCGCCCCCCTCTTCACCAGCCTCCCAGGCTGCCCTTGCCCCAGCCCTCTCTGGCCGTAGTCTGTTTTCCCAAAGAAGAAAACAGCATCGCCCAAGCACCTACTACGTGCCAGGCTCTGTGCTCAGCTCCAGGGGATTCACAGATGAATCAGACAGAGACCCTTCCCTCAAGGGGCTTAGATCCTGTGGGCAGAGACCGGCCATGGTCAGATGTTCCCAGCATCTGTGGAAGATGAATGCAGAAGAGGAGGGAGTACCACGGACTGGGATATGGTTGAAAATTCCCCAGAGGATTTACTGGGTAAGAGTGAGTGTGAGGGTGAAAGTGGGTTCCTCTCTAGGGAAACTGTACAAGGAAAGGTGTGATGGCAGGATCACGTCCCCGCCCAGCATGGAAGAGCTGGGGGGAGTCAGGCTGGGTCTGTAACAAGCACCCAGGAACAGTGGGCAGCTCTGGCCCCTGTGCAGGAAGAGAGGCAGAACCTCGAGTGGGCGGTAGAAGGATTAGAGACAGGCACGCAAGAGGCACCAGACCCCTCCCAAGGTGGTCAGAAAACGTAAGGCCAGCATGTGGAACCAAGTCAGGACCTCAAGGAAGCAGTTTTCAGACATGGGATGGGTCTGCTCAGATTTTATCAGATGCCCCTCTGCATCAGGCCATGAACCACTGCGTTTTCCTTGCATTGAGCGAGCCTGTGACACACTATGATTACCTGTGCAAGCGATTCCAGGACCCTCTCTGCAGCAGACGGTTTATACCGGCCTTTTGCTCTGGGTTCCTCGTCCTCTGCTGGATTGGCCCAAGAGGGTCCAGGAACGGTAGCGAGTAACTGTGGCTAGAGCAGTAAGTTCATTTAGGACCAATATTCTCAGTGAGAACCTTCTCTGAGCCCCCTGAATGTCAGCAAAATGTTATGTATATGTGGTCATGTGTGTCTTTCTGGGAAAGAGTTTGAAACTTTCAATCAGGTTCTCAAAATACTCTTTTACCCCCCAGACGGTTAAGGTTTAGAACCACGATAAGCTCTGTGAGAGCGGGGCTCTGTCTGCCTTGCCCTCCATTGCATTCCCAGTGCTAGGGCTTATCTTAGCCCGTTTGGGCTGCTCTAACAGAACACCATAGATTGGCTGGTTTATAAACCACAGGAATTTATTCCTCTCAGTTCTGGAGGCTAGGACGTCAAAGATCAAGGTACCAGCAGATTTGGTCTGTCTTTTCGGTATAACCTCACAGGGTGGAAGGGGCAAGGGAGCTCTCTGGGGCTTCTTTTTTTATGGAACTCATCCCATCTTGAGGGCTCCACCCTCATGATCCAGTCATCTCCCAAAGGCCCCCACCTCCTAATACCATCACATTGGGGGTTAGGATCCCAACATATCCCAACATTCAGTTTATAGCAGTGCTTGATAAATAATTGCTAGATGACTAGGTGATTAAAAGGAATAAACGTTCATAGATGGGGAAAGCTTTTAATGCAGATGTTCACAGCCCGGTGGAAAATTTCTTGTTTAGTGTTTTTAATAAACATCTATTTAGCTCCAGTCATGTGCCAGATACTATAATAGTACTATTACTGCTCACTGCCGCCACCACCACTACTGTGTCTTCTGCTCCTCCCAGCCCCCATTTATGGGACATACATGATGTGCCAGGCATTGTGCTAAGCCCTTTACAAACATGATCTCTTTTAATCCTTAAAACAGTCCAAAGAGGTCGACATCATTACCCCTTTTTTACAGATGAGGCTCAGAGAACAGCTTGGTCACTTGCCCAGGATCACACAGCCAGTCAGTGGAAAAGCTCTCGTTCCGATCCAAGTCTGCCTGACTCTGAACCCTGTATATCCTCAGCCCTTATTTCAGGGCTGGGTGGCTCAGTGCTGAGAACAAGGAGAAACCTTTTCCCTGTTTCTCCAGATCAGCTGAATTCTCTTTGGCTGAGAGATGCCATGGAGTAGTCTATATGCTGCCCAGCCCAAAGCCCCTGTCCACTGGGAAAGGAACTCGATTGCTCTGAGTCCTGGGTGAGGGCAGGAAGGCTTCAGGGTACGGGGGGTCTGGAGGGCTGGCAGGAGATCCTGGGAACGCTCTCCCCGGTGAAACCTTTCTCACTGTGCCGTTTTCTTGTCGCTGATCAGCTGGCTGCTTGGAGGCCTGTAGGCCCTCCTGCTAGAACAGGATCAGGGCATCAGGCACTTGGAGCTGTCAGGGAGAAATATGGGAATCATTTCAACCGGTAATCATAGGATATTGTGAGCTTGTTCAGTGCAAAGAAAGCTCAGATGGCACAGAAACCCTCTCCTGGATGACCAATGGACGTTGCATCTAAGGGATTTCCTGGGGGGTGGACATGAGGAGCCTCCCCTGGGACCCTGGTGGTGGCATGAAGGCTTGAGCTGGAAGGAGGCCAGCAGGAGTGGCTGAGGGGCAAATGGAAGGTTAAGGGGAGTCGGGATAGCGTGCCTCTGCCTCTGATCGGGAATTCAGAGACTGAGTTCTAGCCCCATCTTGGTCATTTACTAACTACGTAACCTGGGCAAAGTCAGTGTTCTTCTTGGGCCTCAGTTTCCTCCTCTCTGAAGTGGAGGGACTTGATTGCATGATTTGGGTCAGTTCTGACACACTCTGATTCTGCCACCCCTCGAGGCTTCTCAGCTGGAGCGTCAGGACGAAGAGCCTTTGTAACAGTCTCCATGGGCATGGGGTAGAGCTTGTGCTTGTCTTCACGTATATCTTTTATTACTATTTTTAGTAGTAGTAGTAACCATAACAACAAATCCGCAGCAGCTAGCATTTCTTGAGGACGCAGGGCACCTTAGGTTCTATGGCAGGTGCATTATTTCACGTATCCCCACAGCAATCCCATTGTACAGATGAGGACCGGAGGCTCCAAGAGGGTGAGTGACCTGCCCCAGGCCACATGGTCTGAAGAGGGCAGAAGTGAGTTGCTTATCTGGGCTGCTTGATTCCAGAGCCCATGCGCTCAAGCACTGGGCCAGAGTTTTTCAATCTTTTGACCACGATGCACAGCAAGAAATACACGTCAGAGCCCAACCCAGATTACCCAGAGATATGTGTATACAAACTGAAATGCTGTGTGCTCTGTGCTCCGACAGTTCCTATTTTCATTGCTTTTG